CTCAACATATGCCGTGGTTCTACCAATGCCCATCTCTCATGTGCCACGGCTTGCCCATCCTGCCCACTTCCCTCTGCAGAAATGAGCAATGAGCCACTGGTGCCCTCGGTGACACCAGGTACCCACACCTGAGGAATGCCTCACGTTCATTTAGACAGGAGCCTCGTGCCATTTAATACCTCTCCTTCTTAGGACAAAAGTGTGAGTTGGTTTTGCTAGGAGTTTCCATCTTTCTGGGAGACATCCACTGTCTTCCTGAAAGAACAATGTATCTCTCCCAAGTCACCTGGCAAAGACCGTGGTGTTGTGCTTTTAATAGGTGACTTGTGACATCAATCTGGACCTTCTAAAATAATGATGTGATGGGAAAACCAATGTTCAAAATACATTTTAAAAAAATTCACGAGAACAGTTATTACTTATAAATCCATCACATTTTAAAAAACCCTCTAAGATACTAAGTAATCATTGATGTTGACATTTATTGCCATTTAAATCAAAAGCTCCTAGACTTTACATTTTTACAAATTACCTTTGAAATCTCCCCATGTCATCAACAATTCCAAGAAAACATTTTAATTACATCCCAATGAGAGTACCATTTGGGTCAAAAAATGCAGGTTATAGAAAGAAGAAGGAGTCACGCTCCAGGGACTCGCACTTGTAATCGTAGCTACTCACGAGGCAGCGATCAGGAGGATCGCAGTTCAAAAACAGCCCCATGCAAATAGTTCTTGAGACATATATGGAAAAAAAACCTGTCACAAACAAGGGCTGGTGGAGTGGCTCAAGGTGTAGACCCTGAGTTCAAACCACAGTACCACAAAAAAAAAAAAAAAGAAGAAGAAGAAATGCCTCAAGAGATGAAGGCCATTGCACGTCCATGGCCTCGCAAGCCTGGCCTTGTCATTTAGAGATGTTCTCCACTTCCTCTCCTCTTTAAGTGCCATGCCTCCATTCTGGAATACTTGAGCCCACCCAACCGTCCTGGGCTACATGTGTTTTTGAACTGTGGAGTTGGTAGAGGATGTGCCTCTGGACTCTGAAGCCATCTTTAATGATCAGGCTGGCACAGACAGTGAAGAGAACAAGGGGACGGTTCTGTCACTGTCTTGGTTCACCGTCAAGGGTTAACTTCGTGTTTATGTTTTTAGCATTGCATTGATACATCCGAGGAGACCATGCGTCTGGCCTCTCTTGGCAGTTAGAATGTGAGGAATCACACAGTGGGGGATGACTGGGGATGCTGCTGCTTGCCTTTGTCACCGCTCTTGGGTTCCCTTTGCGCTCTAGCACAGAGCGGCCCTGCAGAGGACGGGGAAAACACCCCTTCTCCTCTCACACTTTCAAGCCAGTTTCTACATCCTTACCACGTTCTGGGTTGTTCTCTATAGACTGGAGGCAAATCACAAAAATGCTGTTAGTTTTCACCTTCAAAAGCCTGTGATTCCTTCCACTGCACACTGAGATTTAGGGTCCTGTGTAGAACATCCCATTTCTCAACTCCAATTTGATCAAATATTCAGCTACAATGAAACGTTAACCAAGAGTAGGAACAATTTGACTTGCATTTCCCCTGTTTTGACTAGCTTCCCAAACTTCCTACCTCCTTTCTGTGATTTCAGCTGCATCCAGCCAGCTCTGTGAGTTCATGGGTATCTCTCCGAGCCCATAATAGCTCCATCTACATGGAATCATTTAGCAGTCAGGTTTCCTTAGGAGAATTTTGGCCCAAGGTCTCAAATCTGCTGCCACAGTGTCTCATTCGGGATCTGACCTAAACTGCCCCGGGCCCGTAAGAACGCCCCAGCCCACCCTGGACTCCAGCAGGAAGCTCTAGGCAATTGGCCATGAGAGGTAAAGAGACAGTCTGTGAGCCATCAAGGCTATTCCATCTTCCTGCTCATCCTGCCTCTTGGCAGTGCCCAAAGGAACCTGGTGTCTGGACTGTGACTCCCAGAGTCTCAGCTCTGTCACCATTCTTCTGCCCACTTCCAAAAGGATCACCTTGGCCTGACCCAAAGTACAGGACCTTATCCTGCTTTGCTTCCTGTCACAGCAGCTTCAGGGCCTCAGTGGCATAAAGGGTCAGGGTACACGGGGAGAGGACTTCCTCCCATCAGCTCTGGGCAAACAGGTGAACAGCAGTCAGCCCACCAGCCAAGTATGAGCTTTGTGGAACTGACACAGGGGTGAATTCATCCTGACCATCTTGTTGCTGAGCTAAACACCAAGAGCTCACCATGGGCAACTGCCCCGGAAGCAGAATCTGCAGCTAGAGAACCGCCCAACACTACTCCTGCTGGCTCTGTGCACAGCCCACCAACGAATTTCATATTGTTGAATGAAGTTGATTAGCAGAAGTTCAAGGTGGTCACTGCCCCTGGAATACTCTTACTTGGGCAAGAGTGCCCTTACACAGCCAGCTGCCATTCCAGATGGGCCTTGGAAGAGAAGGAAGAGGGTGGAGCTATGTTCTTATCTCCTGAGCCCCTGGAGGTCCCCCCAAGTACCAACTTGGCTGGGGAAAGCCTGACACTTGTGAACTTCAGGAGCATCAGGGCAGTGATGCTTGAGCTAATCAAGGGACAGTCGCAGGTCCCCATGGAGGAGAAACATCCCTGGGAGATGGGGACCCTGAGGGTTCTATGTTTGCAATGCCAAGATTAATGAGGATGGAGTTCCAGACACAGGCTAAGTCCCTTCTCAACTGCACCATGGCAACACCTGTCCCTCACCCTGCAGTGTCCAGGTCCCCTCCACCCTTCAGAAGTGTGGATCCCCTTTTCAGGTCTGGTGGGGGTCTTCCAACATGCACAAACGTAGCCCAAGGGCTGCTCAGCAAAGCTAGGAGCTCTGGAACTGAGCTTAGACGCATAACAAAATGAAGAATGCATAAGAAATAAACATTAGCCATGTCCTCGTTGCCTCTGTGATACTGCAGAAGTCCCAGCCAAGATGACTGGTTCTGATTCACACAGTGTGTTGATCTCCACAGATGGAGTTCCTCTGTCCACTTATGGGAATGTAGCTTTCCTCCTATGGTGTGATACCCTAGGCCATTGCCCAGCTAGGCTACGTCAGGGATTCCTTTTCTCCATCAGTCTTGCCAGTCAGAGAGAAGAGGTGCAGGACCATCACACCAGCAGCCTCCCAAAGACCAGGATGTTAGTACATCTGGTGGGGCCTCTGTGGCTCTGCCTCTTCCCTCCAGGTCGAAGCCCTCTCCAACTATACCTTCATCTAATGGCCACGTGCTCAGCCACCCCTGCTAATCCAACAGCCCTCCCACCACCTGCACCACACCCTTGTCAATCCATCTTCTGGAAGTAGCCTATACTTGGTTGCTCCACCCTCAGAAACCCACAACATCCCATAAAAGACTCTTTTCCTGAGTCAGGGCCTTCCAACCCAGTTGGGCCAAGCCCCATTCTGTTGCCCTGAGCACCTGCTGCAGCTCCTTCATGGCACAATCAGGGATCAGGTGACACTGGATGATTTGTAGCTCACGAGAGGAGGGCCACAGCTTAGGAACCCTGCTAACTTCTCACTCAGCATTCTGCATGGTGGCACAATATGGAGGAAGGCCATGTTTTCTACACAGTTATAATCCCCAGAGGGCAGGCCACACTGTTCTTGAGCCATCCCAACCCCTCAACAAGACTGGCTGCCTTAGCAGCACACTCAAGCCTTGAGTTTGATCATGCAAGGTCCCAAACAGCTTTTATGGTGGATAAACATTCACACACAGATGGTCTTTCTTCCAGATGTTGGCACAGAGCTCCCAAGACTCTTGGGATTTGCCAAGCGAGAGTAGTGTCTTTGGTTGTCCCTGACATTTCAGGCCCGCACCCCACCATCTTTCTCTGTGCATCTCTTCCACTTGGCTGCCTTTGTGAGAGGCCTGAAAACATAGCCGAGGGGAAGTGGAGGGACCCCTGAACTTGTGGTGAGTTAGGCAGAATGCAGTAGCCTGCTGGGACCCCCATTTGGGCTGGCCTCTCCATGGGGCAGTCTTGTTGGACTGAACCTTCAGTCCATGCAGTCTTATGCCAACTCATAACCCCTGGTAGCTGGAGTCTGGATTTGGCTGAATCACACACACCCAGAGCTCTGGAGACCTGGTAGGTTTGGGGAAGGCACTGTCAGGTGCAGGACAACTTCAGATAAAGGGCAGTGTGAGGTGGCCAGTGCACAGGTCTGATCCCCACCCAGCCATGGGCAGCCTCTCCAGATAGGAGCAGGTCAACCATCATACACAGGTGGCCAGGGCACAGCCACAGAGTACAGTAGGCCCTGGCCAAGTGGGAGGTTCCCACTTAGCATGCAAGGCTGATGAGACGCTGAAACCATCAGAGGGCCATTCTCTGCCTGGATGGTGAGAGGCACTGACGCGAGCGGCTGCTATTTCTGTTTCTTAAATTAGTAGCTGTTCCTCCCAGCTGCACACTGCACTCTAATCTTCAGGTTCTAAAACTAATTTTTACTATAATAACCTTTTTATCCTGGTTCCAAATTACTCCATTATAAAAGGGCATTTTTAAAAACCAAAGACTGTAGCTCCCTCATGGAGGGTATTTTGAGCAAGCCATACTCAGAGATCAGAATCCTCACAGGGCAACTGGAGAGAGTCAGACATGGCTTTAATTAACAGCCGTTCAGTTATGCTTTTGCTGGGAGGAGAGGGAAGAAAATCCTTTGAAGCTTACGGCATGCTACATTACTTTGAGCCACTATCTCTTGCTGGTATATATGCAACAGTATTACTGTTTTAATACATGCTCACAAATCTATCAAAGCAGGAGAACTTATCACTTACGTGCCATTTTTCTTTCTGCAGAATGTTACATCAGTGTAGAATTACACCTGCCATGAGTTTCAAGTTCATTTGTTAAAGCATTATTTGCTAAGGAGCATTTTCTCTTCAGACTCTTGTTCCCAGCAGAATCTGGGATAAGACAACACTGTTTCTCATTGCTCTTGGGATTGGGGTTACTTACCAGGGAGATCCAGGCACTGGGGTAGAGGCGACAGGTCTATTGCCTTTTGCTGCACTGTCCTCCCCTCTTACTAGCATGGATGGAGGCTCCTTTCAACAGAAAGAGAAGGAAAGAGCACTTTGTTTAGTTCTAGACTCATCCATAGTTATGCAAACAAGTAAGTGGTAACTGAGCCTCCTCAGAGAGACCTGTCTGTAGCCAGCAGCCACTGGATAACTGACTTCTTAGCTCAGAAGAGCAAAGCAGTCTGGCTGGGCAGTCCTGCCAAAGATGTAGAACTGGTGACACAGCAGACTGTGTGGAATAGCTCAGACAAAGGCACCCCCTAATTAGCCTGAATTGTCTTTCCATAGCCAGAGACAGGTGCAGAGTCATGGGATGGTTCAGTTGCCAAATGCTTTGGGGGCAGAAAACCCCAATGGATTCATCTCCAGAGACAAGCCTGACCAGCAGCTGCAGTCACTCTGCCAGCAAAACCCATGTATAGTGGCAGAGAACCTTGAAGCAGAGAGGGGTTCTACACACAGCTGGGACTGGCATACCCAGGTCCCTTAGGGCAGGAGGAAATGATAAGCCCACAGCCTTAGGTAAGGGCAGGGACCTTACAGTTTCTGGGTTCTCCCTGCCTTTCTGGAGCACCTGGCTGGGGCAGGACCCAAGGGCATCATTGTCAATGTGTCCAGCTAGGTTTGAAAAGTGCCACTCTGTCTGTCACCATCTAGAAAGACAGGGATGCTTGAACATTGAATCACCTAGAAGAGAACAAAGATTTGATTTCTCCACCAATAAAAGGAACTATGATTAGGACACTTGATTTGTGTTAGTTACAAGTAGATTGCAGGGAGCAGCAAACCTTGTTTGAAGGTAGAAAACACGGACAATGCTAACCCCTAAACACGGAGCCAGGAATCTGACTGACGTGTTTAGCTGCACCAGTGGGTGACAAACACAAGCAATCTGTTGTGCTGACAAAACCGGTCTCTACTAGTGGAAAACCAGGATGAGGAAGTTTCCAAAGGTCAAAAGTCAACAGCACAAGTTTGACTGCAAGAAAGAAATGGAGGCACAGCGGACAGCATACATTCTGGTAGTGAAGAGCCCTTCCTTTTCCCCAGCTGTCTAGCTGCGGGGTGTGTGTTTTATTTGCTTGTTGTTGTCGTTTTTCTGAGGTAGGGTCCCGGTATGTAGCCGAGTGTGCCCTTGAACTTCAGGTCCTCCTGCTTCAGCCTCCTGAGTGTTGGGGAACAGCCATGTACCAACACAGCCAGCTGTTTGCATGGTTTTAATCTCAAGCTTAGGATACTGGGACAGACACTGTGTCCTCTCTCTCTGGAAAATCAGGTGAGACATTAAAGGGTAGTAACAATCCAGTTCTGAGCTGAGATTTTTTTATAAACCGAATAACATCCTAACATCTTAGAATCTGTGCCTACCAGCATTAATATTAGTACTTTTTGAGACGGTGTATGTGAGAAGAGAATCAATCATTTGATCCACCAAATCTAAATGAAGCCAATGTTTCAGGCCCTGGGTGGGGGGCCCCAACCAAGGCCAGGCAGAGATGGCACAGGTGACCAGGGTCCCAGGTCTATACTGTGGCCAGGGTTTATTTTCATTGTCACTTTTCATAGTTGGAAAGGAAGCGCTAAATTACAGAAGCACTGAAGCATAAAATGAGGAGAAAAGAGGATAAAGAATGCTAAGAAAATTTAAGAGCCAAGAGTTGAACTAATCTTAAGGAGTTAATGCTGTCCAATGGGGCTCTTTGGCAAAACCTCGATAGCAAAGTGAAGCTGCCTCTTGTTGACCACTTATCCATGAGGAGTAGCCAGTCTGGAAGACCCCCACCAAGACAGAAGGATGAGAAGTCCCAAGATGGGGATCAGACAGGGCCAGAAAAGTGCCTGTGTTGTCTCTGTAGGAGCGTGGACCTGAGAAGGACAACTACCTAGACAAGGAAAGACACTCTTGTGTGCTCATCTAGGTCTCACTGAGGGCTCTCCCAGCCTCTTCTCATCCTGACAGATTAAAAGCATTTAATAAAGGATTTGGGATTTATACAATCATCCCTATGTTTATAAGAAAAGAAGAACAGTTTTGTGTGGTTTTGTTTTTAGGATTTTCTGGTAGTAGCAAATATCTTTGTTTCCAGTGAGAAAATAAGGTCAGGATCAATAGTTAGCTGAATGGGGAGTACTCAGAAACACTCGTCTCAAAAAACCGTACATTAAGACCAGAGTTTATATTACTAATCCAATTAGGAAAACGGGGGGGGGGAATTTTCACTATGAAGTTAATTGAATAATAGAACTCAACGAGGAGCCTCTGAGTACCAGATTACCTCTGCTAATTATTCACGTAAATATGGAAGGGTGTAATTTGTGATGGGGACGAACATTTCAATTTGGCAATGCTAGGATTCCCTCCAGCTAATTACCAAGTTCTTCTGTGTGAGGCGCACGCGGGTTATGATTTCCTATTGGTGATAGAAATGGCTAATCATGGCATAAAACTCCTGCTTCACACGAAAGTAATAAAAGTGAACTTGACTCCCAGAACCGAGTGATAAAGTGAGTATTTGTGGACGGCACTAGCAAGGCTTTCTGTGTAATTCAGATGTAATTCTGGCTGGAGGCTAATCTCCCACAGAAAAGGCATACGTCAGAGGCAAGAGTTTTATCTGCGCTAACACTGTGATGGACGTTCACTGCTCCACACTGACCCTGGAAAAGGTGAGCCGTGGTGATTATGTCCTCAGCTAAGGCTCATAGGGAGCATAGGCCAGGGACAATGGAAAACTCACAGCGCCAGGAGTCAGGAAGACCTGAGAAAGGTAAGGCAGGAGAGATGTTAACAAGATGTCGAGTTGGACCAGAGGTTCCAGGCATCTTACGGGTGAGGGCAGATTGCGTGCCATCTGCGATTTTCAAAGGTGGCAGCACAAGTGGCCCCCTTGGATTATTCAGAGGAAGGACTGTGCTGTAAAGAATACATCCAGCACTGCTCTGCTCAGTCTTTAAAGGTCCGTTTGGTAAACAGGCAAAGAGAAAGGCCTAAAATTTGAATGTTTTAGGAAAAATAAAAGTGTCCCAGGTTTGCTTTCAACAGTAAAATCTGAATGTAAAATCTTAATTCTGAAAATGGGCATAGTGGTGGTAATGGGAAGCTAGGCTTATTCCCTCTCAACAGAGAGGGAACCTGAGTGCAGACCAAGCTGGTGAGGACAGGGGCTGTGTTCTCAGATGCTCTGTGGTGCCCCACCAGGCCCTCTGCTCCCTCGGGCAGGAGGGAGGCATTGGCCATTGCACAAATCCATGAAGGAGACAGGTATAAGGGCGTCCTGGCCCCGATCCCCATCCTCCAAGCCTGGGATTTTGTGTCTACAACATGCCAAGTGCCAAAACCTACCTTGTCCTCTTTGTCTTCAGCCCGGCTCTTCCTCTCTGCAGCATGCAGCATCAGTGCAGGAGGGTGGGGTGCTCGGCTGTGCTCTTTGCTTTTATCTGTTGAACAAAAGAATTGTCATTAATACTCCATTTATTACATCAGTCACATTTGGAAAAATTGAGCAAAGAGAAAATGTGGCTTTAGAATTCAAGTGGATGGAAAACCCCTGTGCCTTCTGCAGGAAGGTTGTAAAGTTGTGGCATTGTTGATGGCAATTTAGGGACAAAGCCTCTTCCTGACTGGGGGGGTATTGATCACACCTGGGCCATTTTCCAACACAGCCTTCTGTCTACCCCCAAAGTGCACGCCTGTGCCTCTGGGCAGTGCTGTCTTCAAAAGCACTGTCTGGCTCCAGCCTGACTCCACAGCCTCTTAGATGGAGATGCTCAGGGAGCACACCCACAGGGAGTGTGGTGCTTAGGGAGGGACTTAGCTGTCTCCATACAAGGACCACCCAGCATGGGGGAAAGTTCTCCTGCTGATTCGGCAAGCAGGTGGAGGTAGGAGAAAGTGGCCAGGCACTGCTCATGGCCCACGCCCAGGCAGACTCAGGGCAGAGGAGCTGTGCCAAGACCTGTAGGCCTCTGGCTGCTCTCTTGAATTCCCAGGCTCCCCCATGACCTGGGCAGTCAGGAGCTCCCTCAGTGACTTCAAACTGCCCCCAGCTCTGTCTAGGTCTGTACTCAGCATAGATCACCCTTTGCCACACCTCATGGCCAAGCCACAATGGGTTGTGAGTGGATAAGACCCAGGTCTACCCCAAGAAGGACAAGAGACCAGCACGATTCAGTGGGACCAGCCTTGCTGAGGCTTTGACAGTTGGTAGCCATTATTAGCATCCTTGGCCAAGACTTGTAGGGGACAGGGGGGCTCCAGGCTGGTCAGGCAGGGTTTATTCATTGCCAGTTGACACTGACTTTTCCATGAGCCGGACTAGACAGCGTTTTCAAAAGTAGGTGTGTGCAGTGAGGGAAGGGGGAGAAAGGCAAAGCATGGGATTCCAAATATGGAAACGATTTTAAGTTTTCATTTTTTTCAAAAAATCTACCTTAACCTTCAAAATGGTGCAAGTAGCAGCACTTTTGGTGAAAGACTGCAAGAGTGATCACTCTTTTAACACCAGAAATGGAAAGAAAAACCCAAACCGTCTAACCACAGACCAACCTAATAAATGAGTAGATCACAAGGGAAAGACCTACATGTGTTCTGTGGGTTTGAGGGACAGGATGGTTCAGAAGCAGAAAACACTGGACCTGGATCTCCCAGTGTCCAGCTCAGCTGGGAAGGTCCACAAAAGGGAGGGAGGGGAAATAGCAAGACAATCACTTTACAGCTGTGCACACCAACACACACATAAACACACAAACCCCTGCAAGCACATGTGCACACACATGCAAACACACACAGAGAAAAGGCATCTAGTGAATTCTTTGGAGCCCACACATTGGTGTGTGGAGGGTTTGGAAAGCAAGGGCAAAGGTGGAGGCCAAACTGGCACCTTTCACCTTTCATCATTTCCTCCTCAACCTACTGCTGACCCCATACCCTCTGTCTCACATTCTGTGAAGTTTTGTGGAAGGGAACACACAGGCTTGGACCTTATATGGGGTTGCCATAATGACCCTTGTGGGCACCTGGAAGGCTGAACCTGCAGAGTGGATGGCTGCAGGACTTCCTTCTACAGAGTGTTGGGGAGAAAGCCCCTCAACTAAGCATGCTCAGTTAGCGTCTGCTTAGACACGGAGCAGCAGAACTGGGCAGCGCTGGACGTGCACTGAATCCCCTGTACCCCAGAGGCAGTGCATCTGGACCAGGCAGTAGCCAAACCATCATGTCTGGCTCATCACCTCCATCTGACGACGACTAGATGGATGAGTAGCCAGCAGACATCAAGGTCATAGCAAGGGCCCTTATCCTCCACTGCCAGACCTTCAGGCCCTTGCAGGGAACAGGGGATGGTCCTTGCTACTGAAAGAGTAATTGCCCTTATCTCAAGCTATTGGCAGACAAACAAAGCATGTGTCCCTGACATCATGGTGTCCTCCTGTCACTCCATCTCTACAAGTATATCCAAGGCTAAGCTTCTGCCCAGACCTCTTCCTTCCACGCAGAAGCCTGATATGCTGACCACAGGACAGCAAACAACCACACATATCAGGCCTGGCCACAGGTCACTGGAAGAGCCCTTGCCTAGCATATAGGAGGCCCTGGGTTGGTTCCCCAGTATAAGCAAAAAAGAAAAGAAAAAAAAGGTGGGCCTTAGAAGAAGCCATCAACTTTCCATCAAACTGGATGGACAAACCTAAGTCAAGAAACTAACTTGAAGGCAGAGGAAATATTTCATCATTCAGGATGCTACACAGAGCTGCTGGGCACATCGTGATTTCCAGAACTCCATGGAACTACTCCCCAAATCCCATTCTTTGTCAAGGTGCGTGGAGGAGGCTGGACAGGGTCTCTGTCCTGAGTCCATGCTGGGCAATTCTGTCCCCTTGTCATCTCTGCATCTTCCTCCACAAAGTGGAATCAGCAGGTCACAAAATGTACATTACAGAGAAGGGCTAAGACACAGGAAATGGTTAAGCAGTGTCATTTGCCAAATGACACTGAGGAAAAATGCACAGAAACTGAAGCACTTAAGTGGAAATGTGGAGGCAAAGGGACGAGTTGGCTCTGGAGCCAGAGGTCTTGGGAGAGGAAGTTTCCTCTGGAATCACATGCACGCTTTCCCCAAAGTCTCATGTTCTGTGTGGGGACACCTAGTCCAGAGCTCACTGACACCCGCTTCCAAGCCACTTCTGTCCATGCTTCCCCACCTGCTACCTCCTCTCTCCCGTCCTCAGTGCAGACTCAGCCCTGAAAGCCTTCAGCAACAAAGCTTTCTTCTGAGACAAGGCAGAATGCAAGAGTGAGGTGTTCAGTTAGGTCGACAGTACGTTCTTCTTCCCAACTCACTGTACGAAACACAAGCACACAACTAGAACCTGCAAGCCAGGGAGCTCAGTCGGACCCTGAGTGAGACACCAGAGCAGAGGCTGCCCGGGAAGGACTTGCAGGGGCGAGGCCCAGGGAAAGGGACCAGCAGAGGTTTGGAGTGAAGTCTGGGCATGTTAACAGTCACCACAGGAGGTCTGGGCCAGCCACATCCAGGGGACCTCATGTGAGTCACAAAGAGGGCGTGTCTGAAGCAGCCACAAAGCAGCTTTTTGGGACAGAAGGGGGCTATCCTGACACCACTAGCCCCAGGAGCCCAGTGTCAAAGAAGCTTCAGAGCTGGCCAGGAGGGAACTCAGGACCCTCTGCCTCATGCTGAGGGGTTAAAAAATAAATTAAAATCACCTCCTCCCCCATGGTGACCCACCCCAGAGTGGACCTAAGGATAGGAGGAGAAAACCCAAACTTCATAAGAAAGTGGACACTTTGACTACTGTCTTAGATTCCTCATACTTAACTACAGACCTGGGATCTATTTATTCTGTGACTGGAAGTGAAATCAAGAATAAGCCTGGTGTCCTTTGATTTGGATTTTATCCAAAGAGCCAGCCCCATGGAGAAGACGGGAGGGAATGAAGCTGACTCTGACTGTGCTCGCAGCACAGTGGCTACCTACAGAAGATAGCAGTCATATCATCAGGCAAGTATGCATCTCCCAAGAACACAGAAATATATATGCAAGGCAAAAATGCACGAGGGAAGTTGACAGCTTGGCCACATGCCTGTAATTCTGTTCTCGAATGAATGTAGCATCGCTTAAGTTTATCCCCCATTATCTTGAGAGAACATACAAAATCTTTTATTGAAAAGAGTTGATCTTCATAAAATTCAGCTATTAAGACCTGGCTTTTGCAAAGAGCGGATTTACCTTGCCCCTCTCAAGTACATCTTGGAGAAGCTAGCACTGAAGATTATGTTAAAGCCTCTGATCCAGGCACACATCCCTGGAATACCTGTGACAAATATTTGTGCCTCGCCCTGAGTGTTTTCCTTCATCACTGGCACGTTTTAGCAGCCATTGATTTTGCAGGCCCGTGGAGGTGGGTGGTAGGCTCTGGGGCTCACACACATAATTGGGTCTGCACCTCGGCCATTCCACCTTGGAAGTGCTCACTCTAGGGCTCTCCACGGGCCACTTCCGGAGCCCACTCTGACATGCTTAAGTACTCTTTGCTTTGGGCCTCTCCACAAACTCTGATGATGTTGTAAAGTACCCCCCAGAGTGTCAAAGAGAACTAGTTTATGGAGGAAAATCAACAAGTTGTAAGACTTCAGGCCCCTACGTACCTGAGGGAGCACAGGATATATTTCCACACTGAGTGCAAGGCATGATGGTAATATCTTCCCCGCCATCCATCTATTGATCAAGCCTGACTCTGTGATTTGAAGTGCTCCCCAATGGCCCTCACTTGGATTTTCCTCCTGGTAGTGCTGAGCGACAAGGAGAAATGGAAGTCCCATGGCAGCCTGGGAGGATCAGCACTAACGCGGCAAACGCTAAAGCCAAGGGGGAGGTCGACTGGCAGTTGTTTATTTAGTGCCCACAGGATCCTGGGCAGTCTAGTTGTTTGTAGGGAGAGGTGAAGGAAGCAATGTGAGCAGTTAGGGCTCCCTGAGAGCTGCAGTAACTGATGGGTAGATGAGAAGGGACTAGCAGAACCCTTGGCCTTGCCCAGTGGCCATAACTGTCTCCCTGGAAAACAGCTTGGAGAGAGAACCAGGCTCCATCTCCTGGGCTGACTTAGCTCTGCAAACTCTTGGAGCTCAGCAATCAATCTTGTTTTCTGAAAGGAGAGGGAAGTGACTGGCTGGTGTCCTAAGTAAGTGGGCTCAGGGTTCTGGCATTTCTCAAATTGGTCATTAATGTAGGCCTAAGCTACCTGTTCTCTGAGAATCTCAAAGACTCAAAGGTTTCTGTTGTCATCCGGTATTAGTCTTGGGATGAAAGACGGTATGAGGCAGCTGAAATCCTGTTGGTCAACAAGGTTTTTCAGAAACTGTGTGGCCTAACTTCAGAAAATGCTACTGGCATTGAGTAAAGTACCAACAATTAAAAAATATG